CATCTTCTCCTTGCCCACACCACCCCCTTCACTTTCGAGTTGACGCATCCTCCTTGTCCTCGTCCTCCGCCTCCTCCTCCTCCTCCTCCTCCTCCTCTTTGCTCTCCCTCTCCTAGGGCTCCCTGTTCTTTTCTAGTTTTCTCCTGAATCTCGTTTCTTCGATGTTATTCATCCTACTCCTCGTCGTCATTGTCGTCGTCGCTCGTTTCCTCACTCCTCATCGCTAGGGCTTCCCACTATCCCCATCCCATTGCTCGTTGCTCCGACCAGTAATCGATCTTGTTCGCTCCGAGAGCACAGCCAAAAATATCCGTTATGACAAAATTAGATACGAATCGATACGGCGCGTAGATACGTTGAGATACGACGCCCCTCCCGTGTGGGCCCTAGGCGCGCATCTAAAATAAATATGTAGTTTGTCGTCGTTGCAGAAAATGTGATACGATATGCTTCTCGCCTGCACCAGGGCGCGATCGCATCTCAACGCTTCTAATATGTTTAGATGAGCCTTGCAGGGCGAGTCGTTTTTCGACGGTCCCGGGGCCCGGCGTGGGCCCCCGGGGCCGAAAGTAGTGAAAAACTGTGGCTGATTCTTATTTTACGGCGCGACCAAGTCTGGGAAGCAGAGCGGCACAAACGTAAACTTTCGGCGGTCCGCGCGGATGTCTTGCATCTGCGCTGGACCACCTCTCCTCCACGGCTTAAGTCGGGCATGTCTCTCTACAGGAGGAATATTGAGAAATAGAAAAAAATAGTCCGGGGACGATGTTTTATTAATTTTGAGCATGTGGGGGTATTTGTTGAGTCTTTCTGTCGCCCTGTATAGGGAGCCCAAAAGAACGTACGCGCACCCCTATGTACATGAATCAGCCCCTTGACCCGCGAGACCGGCCGCGTGATACGAACATCCGCGCAGTGCGAACTCTCGAAACCAGCGTGGATTCATGTACGTGTACGTCCTTCTTCCGCTCATGACTGTAGGGTTAAGTGGGGCGTGTCCCCCTACAGTGGGATTTTCGACGAGACCCTATCTAGAAGTTGGAGCCCCTAGGAAAGCAACATTAGTTGCTATGCTATGCTATGCTATGCTATGCCATGCTATGCTGCGCTATGCTATGCTGCGCTATGCTATGTTACGCTATGCGATGTTATAATCAGCTGTGCTATGTCATGCTGCGCTGTGCTATGCTATGCTATGCTCTGCTATGCTCTGCTATGCCATGCTATGCTAAGCTGCGCTATGCTATGCTATGCTATGCTATGCTATGCTGCGCTATGCTGTGATATGCTGGGCTTTGCTATGATATGCTGTGCTGCGCTGTGCTGTGCTACGCTCTGCTATGCTATGCTGTGCTCTGCTATGCTAAAGCTCGGCGAAGCTAAGATGCAGGTAAGCTAAGCTAAGATAAACCTGAGCTAAGATGAAACTAAGCTAAGCTAAGATGAAATAAGCTACGTAAGCTAAGATGAGATAAGCAACGCTGAGCTAAGGGAACGTCACTGGGGGAACCGCGGGGCGGATCCTGGGGGAACCGCCCGGGGCGTGTTGCACTGCCCGGCCCTTTAAGCACACATGGTAAGAACCCTTCTAGGCAGAGCTGCCTTTCCTTTGCTTTGCTTTTGTTTTTGCTTTGCTTTGCTTTGCGTTGCTTGTGTTTTGCTTTGCTGTCGCTGCTGTTGATTTGCCTTTGCTTTGCTGCTGTGCTATGCTATGCTCTGCTATGCTATGCTATGATGCGCGGTGCTATGCTGTGCTGTGATGTGCTGCGCTATGCTATGCTATGCTATGCTGCGCTATGCTGTGCTATGCTGGGCTTTGCTATATTATGCTGTGCTGCGCTGTGCTGTGCTACGCTCTGCTTTGCTATGCTGTGCTCTGCTATGCTAAAGCTCGGCGAAGCTAAGATGCAGGTAAGCTAAGCTAAGATAAACCTGAGCTAAGATGAAACTAAGCTAAGCTAAGATGAAATAAGCTACGTAAGCTAAGATGAGATAAGCAACGCTAAGCTAAGGGAACGTCACTGGGGGAACCGCGGGGCGGATCCTGGGGGAACCGCCCGGGGCGTGGAACACTGCCCGGCCCTTTAAGCCAACACGGTAAGAACCCTTCTAGGCAGAGCCTAGGTAGGGAATAATCTAAATGTAGTCAGAAACAATCAACAGTATTCAAAAGTAGTCAAACATACACCCAGGCTATGATATGCGATGCTGCGCTATGCTATGCTACGCTATGCTATGCTGTGCTCTGCTATGCTAAAGCTCAGCAAAGCTAAGATGAAGGTAAGCTAGCTAAGGTAAACCTGAGCTAAGATGAAACTAAGCTAAGCTAAGATGAAATAAACTAAGCTTAGATGAGATAAGCAACGCTTAGCTAAAGGGACGTAACTGGGGGAACCGCCCGGGGCGGGCCCCACTGCCCGGCCCTTTAAGCACACCGAGAAAGAACCCTTCTAGGCAGAGCCTAGGTAGGGAGAAATACCCCAAACATAACAAATACATAATCCAAAAATAGTCGGGGGACTATTTTTCTGCTATTTTTTACCTTTCTGGGGCATTTTTAGGGTATGTTTTACTCTTCGTCGAGAATCCCCCTGTAGGGGGACAGGCCCGACTGAACTGTACAGGGCAGGTTTTAATACATTGGATTTTTAAACATATAGGATTTTTTATACATGATCAATGTATGAATAAATTTATGCATGAACTCATCGTTGTTTTTAGTACTAAATCCCTGAATTCTTGATACATGATCCGCACGCGGAGCATGCATTAAAAACGGCACTGTAGGGGGACACGCCCGATGTACTCCACGGCGCGCGAGGAGCGCGCCAGGGGCGCGCTCCAGTGGCGCCGCCCGGGGGGGGGGGCGGACCGCTGGCCCGAGAGAGCCGCGGGGGGCGCCGGCGAGCCCGCGCAGCTCTGCGAGGCGGGAAGACCGCAGGCTGCCGATCCTCCTCCAAACAGAGGCTCGCGTCGGAAAACAAAAGAAAGAAAACAATACAAAAAAACAAAAAAAAACAAAGAACAGGCCGGGCGTTTTTTCTCCAATTTTCGGCCGCGAGGGGGTCCTCGCTGGGCCCCGGGAGCGCCAAAAAAACGACTCGGGATGAGAAACCGGCGTGGGGTCAACTCTTTAAATGATGGTGTGGGTGCCTTGAGGCCCTCTCCCACCGAGGCAGGCCGCGAGCCGCTCGTGGGACGAGGGCGCCGGCCACGCGGCATCGTGAGTGCTGCTGCAGAGCCTCTCGGCAAGAGCGTCAACTCATGGATTTAATCATGATGAGACCAAACTTTTTCGGCCACAGCTTTCAACAGCAGGCGTCCAGATGCTTGCCACGAGGTGTAAAGGCGCCCCGTGATAGTTCAGACAGCTCTCGTGCCGCTGGCGATGCGATGCGATGAGAAGACTGGCCCCGGGGAAGGGGTCTGGACGTCCGGGGACACCGCCTTGAAGAAATCGGGGCGCCATCATCTTGCCATCGCTCGGACGGCCATTCCTCGTGTATTTCGTGCTCTTTTCGCTGAATCATCCATGCTTCCTCGCCGAAGAAAAAATCCACACGTCCGAGCGATGCCAAGTCATCGCCATCTTCCCCCTCGGGGCGCCCTGGAGGCTGCGCCTGGGCCCTGGCGGATGCCGATGGCGCCCCGACAGCTCTCCGACCGCGCCCCCCCATCGTCGTCGCCTCTTCCTCCTCACCGGCCGTCCTCATCGTCCTCCTCGTCCATCCTCATCGTCCATCCTCATTATCCTCATTGCCCAGCCTCCATCCATGGCCCCCCCAGGGCCCGTCATCGTCCCCCTCGTCGTCCATCCTCTCTCCTTGGTCCATCGTCGTCGTCTCCCTCCTCCCCGCGTCCTCCCGGCGCGCAGCTGGCGCCGCCTGTCCGTCAGCTCACGCGTTCGGCGCTGCTCGCGCGCTCACCACTTGACTTGCCCAGGCGCGTTTTGCGTTTGGCTGCTTCGTCGTCGACCGATGCCACTACTCCCCAGGCCTCTCCCGGGTCTTGGGGTGCGTTCTGACCAGAATCCCACTAGCTCTTCAGGGCGTGGGTGATTTGGCGGTTTCTTTCCGGCTCCCCCGTCGTCCCCTTCGAGGAGGGGCGCACCCCTCCCCAAACCCCCTCCCCCTGGACCCGGAAGAGGGGTGGGCGACGAGGTGCTAGAGCATCCAAGAAGGCCTCGGCGAGAAGGCAAAACATGCCTGAAAATACTAAGAGTTCGAGCCAATGTTTGCCTAATTGGCAGCCCTCCAACTTCTTTGATCGATCACCTCCAGGATGGCCCCAAGATGCCCCCGATGCTCCCAAGAGTGCCCAAACAGGGCCCCAAGAGGCGCCAAGGCCCTGCAGATGCCCCCAAGATGCTCCGAAGAGGCTCCCAAGAGACCCCCAAGAGGCCCAATTTGGCTCCCTCCAGGCACACAAGACGCGTCAAGTGTCCTCTAGGACTGCCAAGAGGATCCCCAAACGCCCCAACAGGCCTACAAGAAGCGCTCGAGTGACATCAGAAGAGACTCCGAGAAGCATCCAAGAAGCCTCTGGCCTTTCTGTTCGCCCTCCTCCTCTTCCTCTTCCTAATCCTCCTGATCATCATCCTCCCTCCTCCCTCCTCCCCCGAAATTGTGCCTTCAGACGCTGCCACGTAGCCCCACCCCCTTCCTCCTCCTCCTCCTCCTCATCCTCCTCCTCTTCCTCCTCCTCCTCCTCCTCCTCCTCCTCCTCCTCCTCCTCCTCCTCCCCCTCCTCCTCCTTCTCCTCCTCCTCCTGCTCCTGCTCCTGCTCCTCCTCCTCCTCCTCCTCCAGCTCCAGCTCCTCCTCCTCCTCCTCCTCCATCCTCTCCCTCTTGGGATATGACGGCTTCCAGAGTCTACTTCAACTGCGTGCTCCTCCCCACACCTGATCAGGGCACCTCGCATGGGCATCGCTTCCAGATGTGCTGGTGAGGTTACTAGAGGAAGACACAGCGCCATAAACATACACTTTTGGCACTCCCTGGCCTCGTCCGCGGCCTTCTGCTCGGTCGCATTCTCAGCCTTCTCGTCCGCGACCGCCGGCCGCTCGACGTCCTGCTCCTCCTCCTCCTGCTCCTGCTCCTCCTCCTCCTCCTCCTCCAGCTCCTCCTCCTCCTCCTCCTCCTCCTCCCTCCTCCTCCTCCTCCTCCTCCTCCTCCCCTCCTCCTCCTCATCATCATCATCATCATCATCATCATCATCATCATCATCATCATCATCATCATCATCATCATCATCATCATCATCATCATCATCAGCATCATCATCATCATCCTCTATCCTCTCCTCACCTCTCCTCTCCCCTCTCCTCTTCTCTCCTCTCCTTCTCTCCTCTCTCCTGTATTCTCTCTGCCTCCCCCCTCTCCTCTATCCTCTCCTCTCCGCTCCCCCTCCTCTCCTCTCTCCTCTCCTCCTATCTTCTCCTCTACTCCCCCCTCTCCTCTCCTCTCCTCCCCCCTCTCCCCTCCCCTCTCCTCCCCCTCTCCTCCCCCCTCTTCTCTCCCCTCTCCTCTCACCTATCCTCTCCTCTCTCCTGTCCCCTTTCCACTCCTTTGTCCTCTCAGTTCTCCACTCATCTCTCCCCCTCTCTCTCCTCTGCTCCCCTCTCCTCTCCTCTCCTCCCCTCTCCTCTCTTCCCCTCTCCTCCCCTCGCCCTCCCTCCCCTCTCCTCCCCTCTCCTCCCCTCTCCTCCCCTCCCCTCCCCTCTCCTTCCTCTCCTCCCCTCTGCTCCCCTCTTTTTCCCTCTCCTCCCCTCGCCTCCCCTGTCCTCCCCCTCTCATACCCTCTCCTCTCCTCACCTCTCCTCCAGTCTCCTCCCCTCTCCTGCCTCCTCCCTCTCTTCCCCTCTCCTCCTCTCTCCTCCCCTCTCCTCCCCTCTCCTCCCCCCCTCTCCTCCCCCCCTCTCCTCCAGTATGTGCAGAGAGGTAAGTAGAAGCATGATGCAGAGCATGTAGCAAGCAGTTACTGTACAAAGACGTCTTGGGTCAAGCGTACCAGAAATCAGGCTTTGGTAGCGGAGCTGCCGGTCCGCGGACCCGCAGTTACTTTCGGTATCGAACCCTCCGTTTTCGATACCACAGGTACTCTACAGATTGTGGATTCTCTCTTCGGGTTCGAGGAGAAGCAGAAACCCAGCGGCTTCGAGTTCACGGATACACATACGGTGACGAGAGGCCAAGGCTCGCTCGACGTCGGCTACGAGTCGGCGACCCAGTACGACTACGAGGGCGACTTTTCCAATATTGATACAACATGGCTGGCGCAGCAGACCTGCGCGGACTACCCCTTGATGAATCTACCCGACAGTGTCCACCATGATGGCGACCTTATGTACGAAGCTTTCCTCTCAAGACATACGAGGAGAAACTGAAGTTGTGGATGCGCATGACAGATGTTCCAGCGGATTGCCAAGGGAGCGTTATTGTTGGCAGGCTGAAGGGATCGGCGTATCGCATCGCGATGAAAATTCGATTACGACGGCAGGATGGAAGCTTACTCATTGAGGACGAAGCCGTCAATGCACTGGGAGCCCTGAAGACGCAGCTCAAGGATTGCAAGCAACTCCTTCGGGTCTACAACAGATCATGGCCGACCTCAGGACTGCCTTCGGCGACGACAGTCACGATTTGCAGGCGTTCCACTTGGATTGGTTCTTTGAATTACATCGCGGCTCACACAGCCTGTTGGAGTATTTGACGGCGTTCAAATTAAGATATGAATCGGCTGAGGAGCACGCTGCACTGAATCTGAATCATGTTGGACTGACACATTTGTTGCTTGGCACAGCCGGACTGGCTCCACGATGTATAGAGGATTTGATGCTGAAGGTAGATGGCGATCGTGGCCAGTTCACCGAGATTTGCAAGTCGCTCATGAAGTTCAGCAAAGGACAGAAGGAGATCGGTGAAGGTGGAGACCAGGCTGGCATCTTACTTCAAGAATATTAAGGCGACGAGGAAGCTCCAGAGTACAGTAAGGTAGAAACTGTCACAGATCATCATCAAGGAGCGTGGTACATCTATGACTACACATATGAGCAGGCCTACTACTTGGACCTTGCGAGTGAAGATCTGGATCGCATGGCGTACATGGCAAAACACCACTGGGACGGCTGAGGAGGAGGACGAGGAGGAGGAGGAGGAGGAGGAAGCGGAGGACGCGGAGGAGGACGAGGAGGAGGAAGCGGAGGAGGGGGAGGAGGAGGAGGAGGAGGAGGAGGAGGAAGCGGATGACGAGGAGGAGGAGGAGGAGGAGGAGGAGGAGGTTGAGGGGGAGGTGGAACGAGGCCTTGTTTCCATAAGTTGAACCTCGATTTCCCATCGAAAACCTCAGGAGCACCTGAGACAAGCTGCAAAGCAACCTCCCCAACGAAAACGGCCCGGCTGTAATCGTAACCTGTCGAAGGTCCGCGCGGATCTCTCGGATCCGCGCCAGACCCCTCTCCCCGGCGCGCGGATCCGAGGCATCCGCGCGGACCTTCGAGCTGTACATATGCTGTATGTCATGGTTTTTCCCCCTGCAGTGGGAGCTTGACCATAAGAAACCTGCCACAAGAAGCCCAATCCCGAGGCCCCAGGACGTCCGTTGGTGTTTGGTGCGGGAGCGTCACGCTCTCCATAGCAAGACCATCGAAACCCGAGCAACCGAGGGCACCCTGGAGGCAAGCAGGGTGTTGCTTGGCGTGGGTCTCCACTGTAGCCTTAGGGGGCCACATGCGAACCCTACCCCTACCCCCCACGATTTCTGAGGGGGAGGGTGGGGTCACTTCGCTCGGGAGCTCCCGAACGAAGTGAACCCCACCCTCCCCCTCAGAAATCGTGGGGGGTAGGGGTAGGGTTCGCATGTGGCCCCCTAGGGTCTCCACTGTAGCCTCCCTCCGCCGCGCCCTGGGCAGCTCGGAGTGGGCTTCGGCGCGGCGGGGACAGAACCCGGGGAGGTCTTTTGAATCTTGCCGCCCCGCCGTACCCCCAAAAAGACCTCTTGGCTGGCAGCAGACTCCGCGCGTCCCCCGGGTCGCCCCGCCTTTGTCCTTGTCTTCCTCCTCCTCCTCCTCCTCCTCCTCCTCTTTGACACGAACGCGACGGCGGCGGGATAATTAGTTGCCGATGACTTTGAGGGGTGTGGGCAACCCTCAATTGCAGAGGAAGAAGAGGTAATTACCCATACCGCTACCCTTCCCTCGCTTTCCCCTTTTTGGGCCTCCTGCGAGGCCCTCATCGCCACAGCTGGATTCGCCTCGAGATCCTGGACAGAACGCACCCCGGAACAGGTCCAGGGATTAGCGGCATCGGTACCTGTTGGCTTCCTCACACATGTTGCCCGTTTTGGCGGCGTGCCCGGGGGGGAAATGAGAAGGGGCGGGCCTTCTCAGAAGGCTCGGAAGTCCCGTGGCCTTCTGAGAAGTCTTCTAAGCCCTCCCCGAAGACAGAAAACACTTCTCAGAAGGCGCGAGGGCTTCTGAGAAAATAATGTTACTGTTTTCCGCTGTCCCTGTCCATATGCACTCTGAGAGTGCTTACATTTTAGTTTTTGTCGAGGGCCTGCTCAGGCCTGCCCCGCCTCGGACCTGTGGGAAATCAGAGACACGGCGCGCCTCTATGCCGCATGATTATTATTATCATCCCCCCCTCGCCCGCCGCCGACCGTTATTGGAGGGGGGATACGAAAAGACCTTCTGAGGTCATCCACGTCCACCGCCCGGGAAGCCGGCGTCCTGGGACCCCGGGTGGGCGGTGGATAGGGACACACCCGGGCCCCAGAGGGCCCGAGCATACCCAGATTCACAGATCGATACTCCAGATTTCGTAATAAAGGGAGGGGGGTCTCAGTTCGGGGGGGGTCTCTTCCAGGCTATCTTGGAGGGCCTGGGGGGTCTGGGGACGACGTTTTGGAGGGTTCTCCCACGGGGGAGGTCTGAAATGGCTTGTCTTGGAGGGTCCAGACCCCCTCCCTTTTATTACGAAATCTGGAGTACCCCCCAGGGGGGGGTCTTGGCCACTCCCACTGCCTCCCCCCTCCCCGCGAGACGAGCCCCATCCACGGCCTCCTCCGCGGCCTTCTGCTCGGGGGCCTCCTCGCCCTTCTCCTCCGCGACCGCCGGTTGCTCGTCAGCCTGCTCGCGGGAGGGGCCGCGGCTCAGCAAAAACCACAGAGACAGACCCTAACCACTGCAAGTCAGCAACAGCAGCTTGCACTGAAGCAAAACGCGCACCGCCAAGAACACACCCACAGCTGCTGGAGTCATGTCTGAACAGCTCATAGAATGTCCACAACTGCGGGGGCTTCGGCGCCATGCAATGGCTCGACCCACGAGATGCCACTCGGGAATAGCGGGATGCGCACCCCCCTGGATTGACGGGCACCCCGCTTTTTGACGATGGGACCGGTGTCTGGGGGAACAGAATCTACACTCTTAGAATACAGCCGAGCATATGAACAAGAAACTTTACGTCTAAGAAATCTGGGCCAGCTTCCCCGAAGTCTCTGGGAAATGGGCCCGGGCCAATTTCTGGTCTTGACGCTAGACAGCGAACGTGTTCAAGAAGCTCGGCCAGCTTTCCAGCAGGCTGGCTCAGAAAACGCTGGCCCAGCTCCTCGGGAGGCTTCCGGATCGGATGCTCGACTGCCTTCAGCCGAGCGGGACCCCGCCCAGACCCGCGCGAGACGGGCGCGGGAGCCCTGGGGGCAAGGGGTAGCGCTCAACGCCTCCTGAGCCAGCGCCCCCCCTCGGGGCTCGTGCGTGCGAGCACCATTGGTGCCATCCTGCGCCGCTGCCCCAACCTGGCAGAAGCCCTCGCCACGGAGGACGCACGGCTCTCTCCCTGTGTGGGCGCCGGCGGCTGGCGCCCGCACGGATCCGCGCTGGGTCCCGTGGAGGGCTGAGCCCTCCACGGGATCCACGCACGTGCCCTCCCCTCCCCGGGCCCCGGGCCGGCAAGTCCACTCGCTTCCTCGCCGTCCTCCCCTCGCACTTCGCCCCGCCCCGTCCAAGGGAGCGAGGAGAGGCCCAGAGCTGCCCCATCCGCGGCCTTCTGCTCGGCGGGCTCCTCGGCCTTCTCCTCCGCGATCGCCGGCTGCTCGATTGCCTGCTCGCGGGATGAGCCCTGGCCCAGCCGAAACCACAGCAAGAGGTACCCTACGCCCTGCAGTCAGCAGCAGAGGCAAACCCGAACGCAGCACCACCGCAACCACCTTGGAACCAGCTTGAGGCCACCAGGAGGCCGCAAAAGGGGCCTCGAGAAGGCCCCAAGACGGCCCAGAGGACGCGACCCGAGGGCAGAACCCGAGACGGCCGTTTCAGCTGCTCCAGCCCAGCTCTCTGTTGGGGCGCCGCTGCAGACCCCGACGGCGTGACTTTTTTCGCCACGTCGGCCCTCAGAGGTCTCGACCCCTTCCCCAGACTGGCTTCTCATCCTGAGTCGTTGCTTGACTGTCCTGGCGTTCGGCAAGGGCCCCTGAAGCCGAAAATAGCGTTAGCGACAAGCCCCCTGTCGTGATTGTTCACAACGTCGACATCCTGAGTCGTCTCTTGACGGTCCTTGCGCCCGTCAAGGGCCCATGGAGGCCGAAGATAGCGAACCACAGTCCCGTGGTCTGGGGTAGGGCTGCAACTGGACGCGGCCCTGCGAAGAGCGTGGCGCGTGCGTGACTGCCGCATGTTGGCAGGGCCCCCTCCTCCTCCTCCTCCTCCTCCTCCTCCTCCTCCTCGTCCGCTTCCTCCTCCTCCTCCTCCTTCTCCTCCTCGTCCGCCTCCTCCTCCTCCTCCTCCTCCTCCTCCTCTCCTCTCCTCCTCCTCCCTCCTCCTCCTCCTCCTCCTCTCTGCTCCTCCTCATCCCCCTCCTCCTCATCGTCCGCCTCCTCCTCGTCCGCCTCCTCCTCCTCCTCCTCCTCCTCCTGTTCCTCCTCCTGTTCCTCCTCTTCCTCGGAAGCGACGCAAGAAAGCTCCCGGGGCCGCCGCCGCCGCCGAAGCTGCCGCCGAAGCTGCGCGACGGCGCCGCTGAGGAGGGGCCGACATCGGCCCCGAATCGTTTTGTTTGTCTTGTTGTTTTTCCTGCTCCTCCCCCTCCCCCTCCTCCTCATCCTCCTTCTCCTCCTCCTCCTCCTCCTCCTCCTCCTCCTCCCCCTCCTCCTCCTCCTTTTGTTGCTCCGTTGGTGCCTGGATCCCCACACTGAAAACGCGAACATCCAGAAACACAAAGGGTGAGTCGGGGCCGGCTGCCCAAACACACCACGGATCGCTGCGTGACCCACAATCTCCTGCGGTGAAGAGCCTGAGGGAAAAAACGCAAACCAGTTGGCAGGCAGCAGAGAGCAAGACAGCGAGGGGGAACAAGCCTCACTGCCTAAACGGTTTTCGAGCTGCGTCCGCCCCGCAGGCTCAAATTACGACACCCCCCGTGCCGCCCCGATAAGCCACCCGAGGGGCGCCACTCCCTCGGGCGACCGCACACCACCACGCACGCCAGGGCGGGGGCCCATGGCCGTGGGAAGGATGGGTGTAGTTCCGCCATGAGCCCCCCGAAGGGGACCCCCCACCCGCCCAGGCACCCGCGGCGTTGACGAAGGCCCCCGCTGCATTCCAGTTCTGCCCGCGGTGCCGCCGAGTCTGCCAGAGCCACGTCTTCGACCGAGGGCGGCCACTGACAACTTCCGAGGTTGAGTTTCGGCTGTGATTTCGGCTGCAATTTCGGCGGCGATTTCGGCGGCAATCCCGGCTGCGAATTCGGCAGCAAATTCGGCGGCGACGGTTTCGAGCACGCTCATGCAAGGCCGTTGGGGAGTCTCAACGCCTGTGTGCTAAGGCCGAGTAATGAGAGCTCATACGGCCAATCTAAATCTAAAACAGAAGGTCGCATGGGCGGCGTTGGAAAGCTCAAGCATGGAAGCTGTAGCAGCGCGCAATGTGCGAAGTGATGGACGCAGGAGCGCAAAACGAAACGCCTCCCAAATTGCGCGCGGATGACAGCCCCCGCGGCCTCAAACGCCTGAACACTTGAAGGACTAAACAAAACCACATGAATTACTTCGACATGGATTTCGGCGCGCCTCGATCCTCGTCTTGCCACAGGATGGGCCACCTGCGACAGCCGCAGCTGCTGCAGCCATGCCGTGGATCTCCGCGGATCAGTGGAGGCGGACACTCCTCGGGAGACCCTCGAGATCCTAGGGCACGACTCCGAGGCGGCATGGACAGGTCTGGGCGAGGAGGAGGAGGAGGAGGAGGAGGAGGAGGAGGAGGAGGAGGAGGAGGAGGAGGAGGAGCTGACGGGTCCTCGGGGGAGGAGGAGGAGGAGGAGGAGGAGGAGGAGGAGGAGGAGGAGGAAGAGGAGGAGGAGGAGGAAGAGGAGGAGGAAGGGCACGATTCCGAGGCGGCATGGACCCAATCCTGGCGGTGGCAATCGCACGAGCCTTGGAGCTGCTGCTGGCCCCGGCCCTGGGGGGCGCCGGTGGCCGTTGAGACTCCCACGGGCCACGTGGCACCGGGCCACCTCAGCCGCGGCGCTGCTCGGAGATCCGCCACCCTTTCGCATCCCCACGCTAAGCCGAGCTGAAGCTACACTGCCACGACTCTCTTCACGCTCACCACCACAGGGGCTTCCGCTGCATCTCCATGTTCCCGATCGAGCACTTCGCCGACGCACGTCGGCACTGCAAACACCCAGACGCGCGACGTCCTGATGTTTTCAGTGCGGCGTCCCCAGAAGTTCAGACCCTTTCCTCGGGGCCAGTGTTTCATCCCGAATCGTTTTTTGACCCTCCCGGGGCCCGGCGAGGGCCCCTCGGGGGCCGAAAATAGCGAAAACCTGCCGCCCTGACTTTTTTTTAAAACGACGCCAGCATGTCCGGGAAACGGGCACCTCAGAAAAGGGGGCCCTCGAGCACAGCGGCGCTGCAAAAAGCAAACTCAACCTGGATGCCCTTTGCTGTCCTCGGTGCCCCCTCTTCCCTCCGGACCCCATGCCCAGACATCCGACGTCTCGAGGAGAAACTAGAGGAGGAGGAGGAGGAGGAGGAGGAGGAGGAGGAGGAGGAGGAGGAGGAGAAGGAGGAGGAGGAGGAGGGAGAAGCGGAGGGAGAAGAGGAGGGAGAAGAGGAGGAGGAGGAGGAGGGAGAAAAGGAGGAGGAGGAGGCGGAGGAGGAGGAGGAGGAGGATTTTTTTGCACCTGGACCTTTTCCTAGCCTGGTCTCAGGCTAGGACCCAAGCGATGACCTCATGCGGTGGCTGACTTCGGCAGCAACCCACGGGCCCCGACAACAGCGAGCTAGTTCGAGCCACCTCTGGGCTCATAGCTCACGCGAGCAGCTTTCGAGCGAGGACCCTCCGCACCATCCTCACTGCTCAGCTCACGGCCCCTCGCCCCACTCTCGTTGGAGGGAGCCGAGGGAAAAGAATTCACAGCCTGCTGCACTGACTCGGCACGATTTGCGGCGTGTCGAGCAAACTTATTGGGCCGAGCTTCGGCACCAGAAACAGACGCGGGGCGGATCCTCGACTCCTGGTCTGCAGGGGTCGAGTGGAACAACTGGGGAGTGGCAGCAGCTACCACGACCTGCACGACAGACGACTGGTCAACGACCTCCTCGCGCTGCTGCCCATCTCCCGTGAACGGCATTACGGTGTCAGCCTGCATAAGACTGGTGCAGGCGGACTTGCACGGGCGCTCGTCATGCCAACAGGAGTGCGGGCCACTTAGGCCACTCGCTGAGATTGCTGCAGCAGCAGTATCGACAGACGAAGACTCAACGACAGAGTTAAGCTGCTGCAGCTCCTGGCTCGCAGGTTGTACGGACGACGTCTCAACGACAATTTCTTCCTGCGAGCCAGGGTGTGCGTCCACAACTTCTGGTGAGATTTCCACGGTCACACCTGGATGTCGTGGGTGCCGACCCTTACATATATGTACTTCCATCTCTCAGCATTGTTCCTGGTTGGGCGTCCGCACTGTGTACCAAGGAGAGCCAGCGGACCCAGGGTCGAGACAGCCTTGCAACTAACACAAACGAGCAGCGGCGAGTCATCGCTGCACTGGAATGATAAAAGCCTGTGTCCGAGAGCCGAGACCTGCCACAAAGTGTCGGGGATAACGCCAGAACAACCCTCACAGGCAGGCTTGCCTGAACTACCGAAAATTAACGGAGTGGGATGCTTCGTGCGCAAGCAAACACCACAACGCCAATAGGAGCGGCACCACTCCCACACATGCTCAAACTCAGTGCCAGGTTTCACTTTGATTTTCTTAGGGGACCTGGCCAGCTCGACCCCGCTGAGGTCGAGACGAGGCCACTGCGGCAAGATCCGAGCGGCCAGGCGGCAAACAGCCTTCGCAACGCTGATTTTGTGCGCCAGGTCGGTCAGCTGGGCGTCCGTGGGCCTAGGATGCGTGGCAAGACCAGCCTTGGCAGCCTCATCAGCTGCATCATTACCAATGTTTAAAAATCGGTCCCTGTCGGACAGGTCGTCCGAGTCCACCACATGGGCTTTGACTTGGTGGAGGGTTCCCGACCACCGCGAAGAAAAGCTAGAAAATATGAGCCCCGCGTAAGGCCTCTGGTGGGGCAGCTTGATGGCGGGGGGCTCACCGTGGGCACGAACAACGTTGAGGCAGTCGGAGTACCCAGTAGAGGGGCCTACAAGGCACTGGGAGGAGGCTCCGAGGGCACCGTACTCCCCAGCCTGGCTGGTCTGTGGGAGGGGGGGGCACGTAAGCCCAAACGCACTAAACAATTTAGAACCGTCGTCTGCATGGGCTGTAAAACCCCAGCTTGCTCTGGATAACTCTTTAATGATGTGTCTCTGACAGCTGCCGCCCATGAATATGTGACCCGAGACCGCCGTATCGACCCTATCAGGCTCTCCTTCCCACCTGGTCTGGGTACCTCCTTCACCACGAGGACGGGGAACCGAGTCACCTGGGTGCGGGAACAGACCCTTAGTATAGAGGAGGAGGGTAGCAGGATCAGAAAGATCGCACGACCGAGCATCTTGCTGGATCCGATCTTTCACAAGGTCGTCGCGATCTTCCTGAACGCTGGGGCAGAACCACAGGCGGTGCATGAGGCTGTCTGATGCAGCCAAGCACAAAGG